GGGCTTTAAATTACAATGATTGATAAAAATGCCACGAACTACATTTACTATCATGTCCAATGTTAGATCAATTGGTGTTCACTTAATCGAGCAAACAGTTCTAACCTTGAAAAGATCACCTTCATCTCTTCTAATTTTTGAAATCCAGATCTTTCTAAGGTCGTTATTCTTTGGGATTCGATGAAAAGACAGAGAGGAATCGTATCGAGCGTCCCCCTCACACTCTGGAACACAACAATGATCATTGGACTTCTTTATCCTCTTGGAAGGATGTTCAGCTAAAATATGTGAAGAAATACAGGATTAGTCGAGAGAATAATTGATAGCAATCTTAAAAGATCAGTCTCGTCATCTTTTATTAAAGATCTTCAAACTGAAAACAAACTTACGATTTCTCGTGTGTTGAGATTCCCATGGTCCAGATTGTTTTTGTTGTGCTTCTGTCTGTGAGGCGTCCTTGAATGTCGAATCGAGATCGAAAGACAAGCATTTAGTCTCATTAGCTGTTAAAGGAAGGTTCATCTGATAAGTTGTAACTAATATTGAAAAAAAAAATGCAAAAAAAGTTCAGATATTAGCGAAAAACTTGCGTTACTTACTCATTGTTGATTCCGCCATGTTCGTCTCGCTGGCGCTCGCTTCACGAAGTCAAAATTCTCTTTCTTCGGTCAAAAATCTCACAAAATTCATTGTATGGTAAGCTTTGGCAATAATATATTTCCAGTTGTAAAAAGGACAGATTAGGATTGACCTTTAGAGCACTTTAAACACAAGAAAGAGACACGCTTCAATACAAAGATAACAGCTGGTTGTCATGCAACGCAGAGAATGGCTTGCCAGTCAGCATAGCGTTGCTAAGGGGAAATCGGTCACATGATCAACTCTTGCAAAAGGCCTATTCAATTTATTAGCTGTAAAATATTCGCGATTGTGCAATAGTTGATGAATTCTCAATCAGCCGAGCTTTAACGCCCCAAAGCTCAGCTTGAAATTCTACTCCGACAGGCGGAAACAGGATGCAATCATTTGTTTACTCGATTTGTCAATACCATGCCTTGACCGACGCAAAATTTTATTAGAGCTTTTGCGACTCCTTAATTAACGGACAAAAATGACTCGAATGGTTGTATCTATCAGCTATCGGTCTTCTCTCTCATGTATCAGTGGCGGATCTAGGAGAGAGAACGAGGGGCCCGGACCCCCTTTATTTTGGGGTAAAATAATGAAGACAGAGGTAAGAAAACCCGGCAGGTGAAGACACACCAGCAATAAGCCTCCCCCACCCGCCACCCCTTAGCTCGAGGTGTGGATTCGCCACTGTGTATGTTTCTAAGAAATTTAAGGGTTGTGTAACAGAAAAAAAGAAGCTTAGGTTATCAAATCCATCTTGATGGAAAACAAAATAATGTTTAAATACGACGAAAGCGTGCCAAAATGCATGCACCCATAACAGCTAACCCTCATTCCATCATGCAACATAGGTATCGACGCGTAATCATTCGTCCTGATGGGCTGACTAAGTCTACGTTTAGCAGCGCATAGCAGTCCAAAACGTCACGATCTGTAATTCACACTTTGATTCTTATCAGTAGTAACCGAAAATCGTAAGAACAACGATTTACCATTCATTTATCATGTTTATCCTTTTTCGGACACAAAAAGTCTGTGTTTCTATGCGTCCACGAGACAAAGGATAACTCTTTAGAAAGGTCAAGTTTTGAGCCAAATCTGACCATTATGATTATGGCTTTAGTCCA